ATTGAATAACAAAAACAATTGAAAGTCGATATTCAAATGTTTCAAATTTAAAAAAAAAAAATCACAGAAACCATTTGAAAAAAGTTTCATTCGAAAACCTCAAACCATGAAGATTCTATGAAAATTCAAAGAACCTATTGCAATAAAACGGCAATTTCATACTTTAACCCCTGATATTTAATACGCCCAATATTATTTCTTATGTTACCATTTCAATGTACAGCAAAATTGTTGCTTGGGATTGAAAAAGAAAAAGAAAATTGCTATAACTAGTATAAAACCTATATTACACCAATTTTAGAATAATTTCGTCAATGTTATTTGATGACTGTTCTGTTAGTATATACAATACTTTAAAATTGACATTCGTAGTCCATAGACTCCCATTATGATTACTGTTCGAGGAAGTTGGACAATCCCTGATGTGAGACGAGCGTAACCGTAAGACAATTTTGTATAAAAATAAAAATAATAATAATAATAATCGATCGATGCAGAAGGCGGTCCTGCTCGATACGACACGTATTGTTCGCCGGTTCTTGAACCTGAGCCTCTGATCTCGGCCGACTGTGCCATTGCCGGGAAATACAGCCTCTCCCATTTAAAAACTCAAAATTAATCTTTTAGACCTTGGGAGAGGCGAGAGTCTAAAATAGATAATAATAATAATAATAACATGATAACAACGCAAACACTCAACTTAGCCCCGAACATAGCCCCGCGCTAGGGAAACCCTGTGTCGCGGGTGCCATGGACACACACATAGACAACCACAAATTACACCCGAACTCACAAGAGAAATAAATGTAGGCCATATACATATTTTTCCCGGCCTGGGAAGGAATCTGGGACCTTTGCGTGGCGATCCGGCATGGTAACCGTTCAACCACGGAGGCAGTTAAATGAATTTTTGCACATTGTGTTAGGGTTTTTGATGATGTATTAAAAATAGTTAAATATGTATTAGTAAAATGTTAAAAGACTTAAAAGTGTGGATAAGCATGAGAAAAGCTTTAATGATTGTTAATATTTTAGTCATTGTTAAAATATTTACTTACAGGAAATTAAACTATTTTTCTGGATTTAAATATATTAATTTATATTATATACGTATATTTGTTTTTTTGTGGCATGCAACAGTCAATCGTGACCATGGGACCTGTAAAGGGTCCGAAACGTCGGTTTGTTTGGAAAAACAAATATACACGATTAAAATTAGGAAAAATAGTTTCATTTCCTGTGTGTAACAATCGCGAAAACCTAAGAACTCGATATATTTACACAATTAAAGATTTCAAAGTTCATTTTAAATAAGTAGAAAAAACATCGATCATGCGTAATTAACTGGAACATTATCGCATATTTCTAACAAATTAAATACACCATGTTTACCTACGACCTCAGTTTCATCGCAAACCCAAAAGAGTTTTAGTACAAAATGGTAATATGCAGATTTGTTTCTATTTGCAAAGATTACTGGGAAGTATCAGGAAAAAGATTGCGTGCCAGACTTTTAGACGATTTTACAGATATTCAAGGTTACCGCTCTGGTTTCACTTTGCTTTTCGATAGCCTCATTAGACAAGTACATAATAATAATACACAAAAAGATCCCCCTTAGATCGCATTTATCGGAATCTGTACTGATGTCACTGAAGTAATCGTTGTTTCCAAGGTAAGCGAGGAGACGATTGTTAAATGCACATTCCATATTCTTGCAAGTACGGCAATAACTAAGATAGGTTTACAGTTGGTAGGTTTGACTCAGCTTCCTTTTTTAGGCACACGTTGCACTTATGCTAGCTTCAATAACCTAGGAACTACGTCAGTCTTAAATAAGAAGCGATACAAGCGTGTGAGAATGGGAAACAATGCAGGCCATCGAGTATATAACCAGAAATAGAGACGAAGTAAGGGCCATATATTTCTGGTAACACATTAGCGATACAGCTCTTATAAATATCAACTCTCGTTTGCACTGAAATATATAAATATATATATTAGTAGTTGACTAACCTGTGTGTACGTATCCGTATATTCCAAAAAATATTCTGTATTTATTGTAATAAATATAATTCTGTTCTGTTCGGTGGTGTGGGCAAAACAGCAAAATATCTAATTACAAAACAAACGGAATCACATTTCATCGGTAATTAAATATATAATATTTAATTTTGCAATTTTCGTCCATTATAGCAAAGCTCAAGTGAACTGGCCGATTTGAAGTGAAACAGTTGACGACACCCATTGACGATACCCGTCAATTGTTTCGAACTCGGACTAGCCAATCGGAGCGCAGTTGTCACAGTAATGATATGGCAGAATAGTTTTCAAACACTCACAAATTAAATGACATTTCGTCTCTATTTCTGGTTATATACTCGATGATACAGGCACTCAATTACACAGGACAATTGTTGGTATTTTATCTGGCCCACTAGCAAGTCTAAATTCATATAAATTCGCAAACTTTCATAGTACCCCTTTTGGCTTATGTACACATGGAACGCCACCTCGTTGCAGCCAACCTGAGGAAAGGTAGATGGTACGTTCCTAGCGTCATCCAGATACTAATACTTGGCAGAGAGTGAAGAGACAAAGTTTGTTTCTCCTCAGCATTATGGACCAACGAACAATCCAGTTTCAGCAGAGGTGATAGAGATGGGTGACTGTGAAATTTTATTTCGAATGAAAGACTTGCTGCCTACTGAAAACAGACTAGTTTGGTTGCATTTTTGGCAGTTTAGTTAAAGGCTTTCCTCATTCCGATTCTGTGAACTCTGCATAATCGACCATCTGCTCAGTCTTTGTACGCGGACTGTTCCTGGGTTACAATTATACAATTACAATCAGTGCTAAACGATGAACGTGTTTGAGGTTCATTGGGCACATTGGATTAGAACACTCAGATTTTGGTACGACGCAAAAACTAGCGTATACCCGGGGTAGCTAAGGTACGCCACGTCAGCAGTATTTTATGAGTGGCTTTGCTACACTAAGCCTGCTTGCATCATCGCTCTCGAACATCGCGTGTCACGCCATCAATAATATATACATACCTATATTATTATAGTAATTAATTAACAAAGTTGAAAATTTTCTTCCTCCTTTCTCCTACTCTGCGTACTTAACAATTTGTAAAAACATGTATGATTTCATTCAAAATAGTATATTTACATAATGGTTGGCTTGGCGGGTTTCAAATAAGCAATAATGTTCCTTAAATCCATTAATACCTTTCTCATACGAGGATCTATCGTTCGAATCGGCTTTGCCTCACGGCATTTCACCACTGTGGCGTATTCTGGTGGATTCAAAGACATCTGACGCCTGTAACGCTGAAGATTAAACAAAAACAAATAAGAAAAAAAATTAACAAACAAAAGTTGATAAAAAAGAAACAATGGTAAGAAAATTTCCTTTATAAAGGATTACCGACGGTTTGGTTTTCCTGATTCTTTTCAGCTTTATAGTAGTTACGAGCTTGTTATTAAAATGTGGCACAACAGCAACTCAATTTACAAGTCATTGGGGCGTACGAGCGATTTTATATTTAGACTCGTCGAATTACTATCCGAGCACCACAAAGAACATGGTTCATAAAAATTTGTGTAATAAGCAACTCTAGACCCCAACTAAAAAAACATAAGCCTGTGTCCGTAACTTTAAAAATGATAAAGAGGATAAATTTTAACATGTTAATTACCGAATAGAATTGTTGGATGGAACACTAGAAATTCTTTTTAACTTAACTAAGAATATTCTTCAGTTTGCTCGGATTTATAGTGAAACGCGGGTGTATTCTAATATTTGCTTCAAAATTTACGCACGTTAAACATTACATGTACTCGATGAATATTACAGATAGTTTTCCGTAAATTCGAAATTCAAATACGTAATATATTCTTCAGACTAACCTCTGATTAAACTTCAGTCATGTGTCGAAATAAAAGCGTATTCTGAGAGATTCACTGAAATCACGACATGATCGTTTTTAGTAAACAGTAAATAAGCTCGTATTTCCATCGTATTGATTAGTGGTTCATTTTGATATATTAATGGAATACGTTTTTTTTATCTACTACATAGGTCCACGTGTTGAAATGCAATATCCGGGAAAATGCTGTTTCAAGAGTTTCATATAGCTGTGCAAAACAATACAACGTATTGTATTCATTGCGTATTCGCTATCAACTATAAAGCTATCCTTCAAATGGAGATTAATGCTTCCAAAGTTCGAATCATTGTCAGTAGTTCTGCAAGTAGGTACAAAGGAATATATGAAGAGGAAAAGATGAAAGTCGGGCTATGTTCTATCTGATGATTGTAGGTCATAATAACAAACACTGCGACAAACAAAGACCTAGATCACGTTGCAAAGAATTACGCCGTAAACGAAGACTACTTAAGTAACCCTTTGTTAAATCACATTTATTTAAGTACATGTATATAAACAATACTATTCAGTGGAATTCAATTCTTGCAAAACATGCTGCAACTCAAAATTGCTCGATACCTGTGAATTAATGCAAAAACTTACTTCCATGTCCAGGGTATTGTGTTGTCCGGGTACGCTATGATGCGGATGCACGTAGAGATGATTGCCGGCCAACGTGTGTCGGCGAGGGTCGTCGCGGCGGGAGGTGCGCCCGCGCGACGGCCCCCGGCTGGCCTCCCCGTCCGACAATCCCCCTATAAAAGGGATAATATTACAATTTCTGCCATTGGAACTATGAAAGAAGAAACCCTAAAGCTATTAATTTAATTGACTGACCAATAGCAGTAATTAATTTAACTATTACATTAGTATAGTATAGATATGTCTTGAAATGACAGAAAGCCGAAGAATAAAGACGCATACTGCCCAGTTTTCTACGCTTTTAGTACTACTCAATTACGTAAGGATTCGAAAAAAATTATATGTTTTTTTATTATAAACTTGGTTTGTAGGTAGTTGATTACAGATAACGTTAAAGTTATCATCATCGTCATTATCATCACTTTAGCTGAAAGACGTCCACTGCTGGACATAGACCACCCCTAAGGACCATAACAATAACCAGTCTTGTGCTGCTTGCATCCATCGGATTCCCGCAACCTGTAACAGGTCATCGGTTAACCTTGGGGGTGGTCGACACTCGAGAACTATTTCACCCCTTTGGCCATCTGTTCTGCGAGCAATGTGCCTAGTCCACAGCCACTTAACTTTTACAATTCTTAGTTAAAGTTTTCAAATTTAAGCTAAGTCCTGTCTCAAATTATGTTCATAAAAAGACGCCTCTTAGGAATTGATGCTACAAATTCACTTTATATAAGCACAATAATTGGTAGCTGAAACTACCTAAGAGAGTCCTCCCTCCTTAGTACTATTTAGATCGCAATGATATAGCCGTTGAATATAAATTCCAAGCCTTCGCTCGCATCCCACTTGATGAAACATTCGCGTTTCAGATAAAATGTATCCTTTAGAAACTCGTCGGATTTGCACAATACATATATTTGATTTTATTTTCTGTACTATTTTCAGTACTTTTCAGTAGTAGAAATTTTACTGGTCCTTTTTTCAATTTCAACATATTGAATTTCTTTCTACAGTTGTGATTGTATTACTATTTTTTTATTTCTGTGTATAAAATTTTTCTTATCTTACATAGCTCTGGATAAAATTATGAAATCCGAATAGGCAGGTTCGCAAATTTATATTTTATATATCTTTAGTACCTGCGTTCACCTGTATATACGTTTATACCCTTGTGCCGTTATTTACAATTTTCAGTCATTGACTTACAAATAAATGGACGACGGGTCTAATACAAAAACCACGAAAAAAATGTCCCAAGTCAACCTATTCGAAATTTAAATTGTAATGTCATCGCAGTATCGCGCTGTCAGTCGAACAAATGAAGACTAAAGCGGAGTTTGGCGCTCTGTATACGATTTTAGCGCCTTACAAATGCGGACACTTTTTAGCGCGGACCCGACGTCCATATAATTGTAAGTCAATGTTTTCAGTTGTCAGTTTGGCTATTGACATTTACATTTGCATTAAATGTACTACTTTTTGAATTTCCAATATTTGCTTTGTAATATCTAATATAATAATATCTAAAATAATAATAATAAGGCCATAGTTACACTTACGTATATTCTATTTTTTTAATATAATATGTCGGGATATAATCGTAAAGGAAACGTTGAGGAAAACACCCTTACCACTGATTTAGTCCGGAATTACATAAGAAACGTTCGTAAGTAATTAGTACGAAAGAAAAAGAGATGGATCAGGTTGAAATGGATTTTAAAGGTCACGCGGCAAGTTCACAAGGAGCAGCCGCGCCCGGTTGTTCAGTTTCCAAGTACCTCTCACAGGAAGCCCCTCTTGTCAATGCGCATTTGTTTATAAGCAAAGATATTGAACAACAACTTCACTCCTTATTTTCATATGGCCACTCTGCTAACGGTAGGACCACGTCAGATGACTGATAAAACTAAACAGATTCAAACGCCACCAGTGCTACCCCCTCTGTGACTTCACACAGCATGAATTGTCCAACTGACGTAATATTTCTAAAAAAGAAACCATTGCCGAGATTAGTTTTTTTTTATGTATCAAGAGACGACACGCCAGTCCATAACAGTTGCAGTGCCACTCAGAGCTTTAAATCGCAAAGATCTGAGGGACACTGACACTGCGCCCGTCACCCTGAGACATAAGTTGACAAGTCCCATGTGCCTGATGAACTCCTTCACAAAGATATCTACTGCTACTAAACTTATTAATTGGCTACAATTAATGGAGTAAGTATACAATGTCATTCTGATTCGAAAACAATGTGTCACGATAACGATCATGTAGGTACTATATTTTATTTAGTATAAATAATTGGATGGCGGGCGCCATTACAATTGCTTGTTGTGTAAATTAAAATTAATTAGCATTGTGTTAGTATTCGGTTCATTGAGTGGCAGTGGGTGAAGTCGGGCTGTGGACGATGAAGATGATAAGTGGTTCAAAACACTTTATTTTATACCGAGGGTCTACATGACTTCACAAAGCTAGTAGGAAGAATTACTAACAACAAAAAAATATTGAGTACTAGACCTGTGCCCTAAATTTCACGCACATTTGAACACACACTCATATGCGCACGCACACATTCATCGCGCTCTCACACCGAGTGGTCGTTGTGTGGAGTCCACGGCCGCCGCGCAGCGACCGCGTGCATCTAACTGTTATGGCAAAATACTATTTCAGAAGGAATACTATTATTCCTAGGATATTTTGGAGTAATTTCAGTTCTGTGATCAGTCAGTTTATACATAGTTCAATAGTCAAAGCGAATTAATGTCGACAAGTAATCGTTCGGCTAAAGCGTCAAGCCAGCCCGATATTCGGCAACGTAATCACGGCGCTGTTATTTCCACCTAGAACTCCAAATTTTATCTCGAAGGGTCTGCTATGACATAGCAGTGGCCACCGAAATTACGCTTCATTTATGAATGGGTGATGGCGCTCGCTGTACTATAATTTTGCCAATACTAGTTTCGTTTCCATATCAAAAACTAGAAATACTTATTGACTAGAAATATATGTCAACTAAAAAGAGTAGGTACTTTGTGAGTTACAATCCCAGCAGATTTCTTCCATTAGTATAAGACTATATCCGTATTTATATCTACTACGTTCGCAGTGGCTCCCAATTCGGAGTAAGATAAAGCTTTGTTTAGTGAAATCAAATAAACTAGACACATATTGTAATACTGAATGGAAGATATTAATAGATTGTACGAAGGAGCTAAGAGTAAATTTAGGCGCCACGGCCCATTAAACGTGACGTGACAGAAAGACTTTTGACATCAAAAAATACAGAATTGTAGTTGCTTTTTATCTACGTTTTGCTGTAAGTTTTAGTAAGTAGGTACTATCGTGTGCTTTCATTTAAGTTCACGATAGCTTTGAGGACATTGTAAAAGGGGTAACACATACACAGCTGGGCATAGAATACGTAAGAAAAATTTATATTTTCATTGATGTAATACAACAAACTATAACACATAAAAACTGTCACATCCCAACCAGCAAATTAACCTCATAACGTTAAAGTTATATGGTCAGAACTATATCAGACCTTTTGCAGTTAATTTGTAAAAACATTTAACTTTCGATGTACTTATAACGGCTCATTATCAGAGGTTCGTGTTATTTAAAATTTTATTTATTACTAGCTGCTGCCCGCAACTTCGTTCAACTTTTTTAATATAGTATATAGTAAAAGTTATGTATACTATAATATATTTTTGAGTAATATTTTTAAATTTGATAATTTGATTAAATAGTTTTCAGTTTTTATAGTCTTTTATTTACTTTTGCTTCATGAATTAAAATTATGGATTATATAGTGATATAGAAGTTTTTAAACGTGAACATTGGCTTAGTTTGTTTTAATCTTTTGGTAGTTTATTATATAATTGAGCACCTTTAATAACCCTACCAGCAAAAAGTAATCTTACGTAAATCATAAATGCGTTTTCTTCAAGATCTACTGCATTTTACATTAGTCTTCAAATGGTTTAATAACTTGGGCATAAAATATAAGACTTTTGGCAATGATTCAGTTCTGTATCGGCGTTATATCGTGCTAATGTGGTTCTATTTTTGGCTCAAAAATGCATTTATAAAGGTTATCGATAAATTTTCAATGCCCCCTGAAATTATTATGTTCTAACATTTTTTTTCAGTAATTATTTACACGCACTAGCTTGCCTAAGACAGTTACACGATCCAAACATGCCTAAGTACTGAGAATGTGCTGTTATGAAACTCTTGTGCTAAATATGACTATTTCAGTCTCTTTATATTTGACTAAAGAAATTGGGGTCCCTGATAAGTAAGACCAGATATTATGTTTATAATAAATAGATTTATTGTTTTTCAGAGTATATCTCTCCATGTTCATGTTCATGTTCATCAATGGCTTCGCGGAACGCATTCACCGCCGCTGCCTTGTCGTAATTGTAAACCTCTAAGTTTATCTTAGATTTTCGGAAATAAAGAAAGCCTCATAGTGCAAGGTGTGGACTGTATCACTGTGTCTGGGCGGATGGGTCATCAGCTCCACGTTTGAAGTCTTGAAATACGAGTTCGTTTCCTTAGCGGAATATGCAGACGCGTTGTCGTCGTGAAGGACGATATTGCTTCGAGGACGCTTTTCGCGAAGTTCTTCTTACACTCTGGGCAAGCAGGTGTTCACATACCAATTTGCAGTCCCTGTCCTTGTCCTGATTTGTCGAAAAACGAAGCAACTATTTTCTTACCAGTGCTCTGACTATTCTTAAGTTTCGTAGGCAAATCTTCTACACGAAAGACCCATTCTGAGGACTGGCTTTTTCTTTTCGGTTCAAAGCAGTACAGCCAGGTTTCGTCGTCTGTCACGATATTATATACAGCCAACGATTGTCCTTCATTAAACTTTTTTGTCATTTTACGGCACGAACACGGTATCCGTCTCTTCAGATGCACATGTAATATCTTTTGCACCTGGCTCATTCCAATGACTTTATAATACAAATCGAATTTGCTGACAAATAATTTGTTTGTCAGTTTCAATCAGTTGGCGTACGGTATCAATATTAAATTTGGTAACCGCAGTCGCCGGCCGACCTTCACGTACATCGTCATGGAGATGATCACG